CGCGTAAAACCACATCACGTGGGGCTGTTAGATTTAGATGATCATCACACTAAACCGCTCTGGGATTTTATTTATCTGCTCTCCTGGAGAATTTGTAGCCTAAAAAATCGTCTCGCACCGATGCAGAAGCGGTGGATATTGTCTATTTCCTCTCTCTCCCTCTCCCTATCTCGTCTTCTTTTTTTTCCTCTGGTCAAAGATTTAAGATTTCTGATCCAAGACGGAGCAATTGCATGGCAAAACAACTGCAAGAGAAGAGAAAAGCCCCAACGCCCACTGGCAGTCCTGTTTTAATCACGGCTCTTCTTGCAGTCTGCATTTTAAATAAATAGCCTATACCAAAACGAATGTAGCATATTCAGTAAATTCCTAATTGTATTCGAATTACGAGACTTCTCCGCTGGCGTTTTCGGTAATTGTCACCCACCAATGTAATGCGCGCAGATCGGTTACTGCAAATTATAGCCTATTACTCCTCAATTTATATGACAGTGAAACCAAAATAGATCATAATACTTATTAGGCTGCCCGACATTCATAAAAACACTCCTTTTTAATAAAGGCTGTGTCGCAAAAAAAACAGCAACGTTTCCGGATCATCAATACCACAAACGTTTTTATTGCACAAATAATGATCAATCATGAATTAATCCAACGAAACGATACACATTTTAGTTTATATAACATCAGGGAAATGGTGATGCTTTAAATACATACTTGGCCTTTTATACACAAAAGCCACGAGAGAGTTGGATTATTTTTATTGCAGCAATCTTTTTCGGGTGTATTTTGTTTATAAATATAATCTATTTTCTCGCAGAATTACTATTTTCTGGCCATGTAGCAGTATTTTTAATATTGTTATCTTTTTCTACTGAGACGTGGGATTATGGTGTGGGCGTGGGCGTGTTGGGTGGAGGAGGAGGGATGAGCGGAGGCGGGTTAGGAGGGGTCTGTGGGGTGGCACGACACACTTTGTATGTATGAAGGTTTTTTTATAGCACTTTTCTGCAATGTACGTCAGCGGATCAGTCCATAAATGGGGCTGCGTGTGTTTGTGTGCGGGCGTGCGCCTGCGTGCGCTCGCCACTGTGTGCGTGCGTCTCCGCGTGTGTTATCTTTACCGAGAATCTCCCCTCTCTCTCTCCGTCTCTCCGTCTCTCTGTCTCTCTCTCTCTCTCTGCACTCTCAGCTCTGCAGAGTTGGGGTGGGCGTCAATAACAAACCTGATGGTAGGTTTCATTGCAAAAATCAGATGACATTCTTTCGGTAGGCCTATTTATTTAACGACGAATAAATACATGCATTTAGCAGAAACAAGGATTAAAACTAACATTATACTAGATTGTCTCATAATGTGTTCTTTGCTTTTTCCTAATGTTAATGTTGGCCTTTGTGTGTCGTTTTTTCCGTGGCGATCAATTCGTGCACTTTGGAAGCTAAAGGGATTTGGTTAAATCTGGTATTCAATACAGGATGTTTCAGTGTTCTTTTAATATTATTAATAGCAGTGTCCCTTTAATAAAACTCGTTTTTTTTATTGTGCTTGCCAGAGCTTGCCACTACGTTTTCATTCATGAAATGTAACAACTTGTCCATTTATCTGAGCTGATGTCTGATATTAATTATAAATAGGCTATTGATTAATTCTGGCTATAGATGGCGGAAATCTCGACCCACGGCTAGGCGGGCGTCACGATATATTTAGAGCGAAAAAATTAATCATCTTAATCATTATGTAAATGTGGGCTACATCGCCCGCCGCCGCCGTCGCTGCTGCAAATGCTTTAGTCACCACCATCATCTTCATCACTAACACTTTCATCCAATTAACAGGCGTGTTTAAACAAGTTCTAGCACGAGCCTTTTATTCCGAACCTTTAATTATCAGTTATTCGTCACAGTGGCGTGATTGTTATTTTACAGCGATGGAGCCCACGACAAGTTATTAATACACAGTGGATGGTTGTTTCTCTTACTGTAAAATACATTGTATATGCCGGACCACTGCGGGACTGCAAGGGTTCATGATGATGATGATGGTGCATGTGTGTGTGAATGTTCGATCATGCCGGCAAACCATCCAAGTGTGTCTGAACATGCATCACATCACTGAATCCGAGCAACTTCTTGAAATAATAAAACAAAGGCTTTATATATTTGCATTTTCTGTATGTCAAATGGACTAAAATTGGGGTTGGAAATAACTTAAAGGTGGATTATTAGCATGTTAATAAGGGACACATTTATGTTATGTCCATTAAGTACAAATAAGTATCTATTGTTGCATATGGTTAAAGCAATCAGAATGCATATTCAAGCCATTGCTTTAGTTCTCTAACAGTCTCATTTGTGTAGCAAAATGCTTTATGAGTTCTTGGAGAGAATACTTTAGCATTTCCAAGTAATTTTGTCTCCTGATAAGTGTGTTTTCATTCAGCAGTGAACCATGCAAAGGTTATTGATGCTGTGGTGGTATTGGATTTGGGAGGTGGAGGGGAGGAAGAGCAGGGAGGGAGGAGGGAGGAGGGAGGCATAAGCCAAGAAAAGAGACAGACAGAGACAGAGAGGAGCTTAATAGGCTATGGAGTGATCTGCAGTCTGTGCCACTATAGAAATAATGTCTCAGCTGTATGAGGATGTGAGGAGAGGATGTGGAGCTTGGTCCTCTGCGTCTGCCTGATGATTACAATAAAGGTTATTGTCAACACAGGAGGGATGAGAATTAACTCCTCACGGCTGCATGTGATTATTAAAGGCCTGCATGGCTTTACCTGTTTACCAGTCTAGATTTTTCTCCACTGTTCTCCAGCTCACCCTCGCCTCGTTTGACGTCATCCAACCTCATACAAAATGTTTTCTCAGTTGACGTGTTCGCTCCAAGGGGGAATGCAATTTCACTTTGATCAAAATACCCTCACCGTCTTCCTTTATCCCTGGTGAAAATGACATTTTACAAAATGTCATTTTGTCCGTGTAACACAGTTCCTCTCTTGCACAAGGAGGCATAATTCTACTTGTTAAGTGAAGCTTTCGGCAGTGCGGACCTGTCAGCATCATGCTGCATTTGGCAAGAGAAGCCTTGAAAGGTTATACAAGTGTGTCGTGTTGTCAGCTCCTGTGGTTGTTTCTTCTTTCTGCTGCACAAACAGGCGAAAGGTTCTGAGCGGGGAAGATGTGAGGGGAGACTGTTTCTGTGAATGTTGGGCCATGAATGGCGTAATTAAAACATGTAGAAATGTGTCTCTTCCCAATGTGACAGATAGTTTCAATCATGTTCCTGCAGAGAAAACTTAAATCTTAAGAGGGCTTCTGCCTCAGCTCCAATGAAATAGTGGTTTTGCAGTTTTCAGAAGACTTCTTGTGGCCTTATACAGACCTTCTGCTGTCAATCTGCAGTTGGACCCTTAATCAGATGAGGCAAACACATCCCTAACACTGCTCACAATGTCTGTTTGCTCTCAGCTATTAGACATGTTATTCACTTCATTCAGAAATGCAGTCCTCTCATGTAAGCCAAAGCACTTCTCTTGATACGCCGGCTTCAGTTGTGTTGTATTAGCAGAAATGAGAGAGACCATGTTGTTGTTTTTGCTCTTCTAATGAGATGCCAAGTGATTTATTTATGAATTACTTGTTTGGAACAGCCCCCTTGTGCAGTGTGCACTTTTTTTTTTATCCTCTTTGGAGTCATGTCGCTCAGTGATTGCTGATGCAACTCTTTGTCATCCAGAGTTTGCCCTCACCTCCTGTGAGCCTTCGGGGAGGGCTATATCTATCTTGGCATGTCCCCGGGTGTGTTGGAGGTGGGAGTGACTCATTAAGCAGGTGTGAGCATCCACTCCCATACTGCTACATGCCAAACAAGAGCTCTCTAGCTCATAAGCTCGTGTAGGGAAGAATCATGATGGCAATATAGCAAACGCATCACAATAAATCTTTACACTGGACCAGGGCCAAGTCACAAGGATAATGAGCTGCTATTTCCCCATTATGCTCACTCTTGTATTCATCAGAGGTGGAGTTTCCAAGCGTTCATCACCCATTGAAAGGTTGTGGCTCCACTGACATTTTTATTTGAGTTCTGCATTACAAAGGGAATGACTTGTTCCCATTTGTTCCAGATGAGTGGAAATAGTGTATCAAGCATTGAAGTTTAATTCTCTGAGCGAGCTCTATGTATACAATTTTAACGTGTTTGTTTAGCCCACATTTGGTAATAATAACCTGTGAAAGCTGGTTACTACACTGCAGAGCACTTGCAGGGGAGTCGTCCATCTGTTATGGAGATGGCTCAGAAAGCAAGGAGAAGCAGAATTGTTTTCAGTAAGTTCACATCTTTGTTAGCCTCCATTGCCATCCACATGTTTTAACACCTCTTACGTTTTACAGCATCACATTTATAAGCCTCCTCTAAGCTGATATTCAGGGATTTATATATAACAGAAATGAATCAGACTTTAGGCATATATTGAGCTTCTTTGGCTATAAAAGGATGTAGGCTGCTTAAAATGGATTGGTGGACGTTCACAAGTAGGTGCCTTCTTTTTTAAGCATATATTCTACATTATATTGCCTCCTCGCGGTTCAGGAAATGTTTATTTTTAAATTCTCTGAATATCTAATTTTACACAAATAGGCCATCTGTAAATGGCACACAATGCATCACGACTTTGTGAGACGGGTTGTTACGCAAAACCTTCAGAAGCACGCCATCTCTCTGACCTCAGTGAGCGAAATACGGAAGAGGAGAGTCTTCCCTTGTGTTTAATATATTGCCAGAGATTATAGTGTGGATGCGAGCTGCATGGTATGCGGACAAACAAAAGCACATAATGCACGCTGAAAGCGCATTAATAGTTCCGCCTCGGGGCTGTTTAAACAGGAGTTTGGCGGCGACCAGTCAGCCAGCGGCAGGTCACATGTTGCAGCGTCATTGTGTAGTAAAGTTACTGTAGTTGCAAAGAGGCTCCTCATTTCAGCTCCAGAGGTCTCTCATCCCGTGGTGCTGCTGCTGCTGCGGCGTTTCAGCATGCGACAACTTCACTTTCCGACCATCTCCAAAGGAGCCGTGCAGCCATGGGAGTGCATTACCTCATCCATGCAATTTCCACCATCAATAATTTAATCTATTTGCTCCAAAGCTGAAGAGATATCCTGAAGCTTGTCGGGAGAGTACAGAGAGGGAAAAATATCGCTAAAGTAAATTAGCCTACTTAGGGAGTTGTCCAACACATCCCAGATGACACTACTGTCCTGTTGAATGGTCTGTTTTACGACTGGGCAGTAAAAGGTATGTGTTTGTTTTTCGATAAGTTGTTTTAAGCACTTTGGCTTTGTTTGATGCTGCTTGAGAAAAAGACAGAGGTGTGCGTGCGTGTGCGTGCGCGTGCGCGTGTGTGTGTGTGTTGGGGAGGTGGAGGTAGGAGATAGGGAGGGGTGGGGGGGTCTAAAAGTAGCTCGATCAAGTCCGGTTATCCTGCACAGACAGCGCCGCAGCCCGAGAGGGGATATGTGTAACCTTATCCTCTCGTTCATTAATAAAAAACGGAGTTATTATGTTGATTGGGTTTCCAGTGGAGAGCACGAGCTCAGCAGATGTAATCTCGAGACGAAGAAAAACGACTGTGGTTTCATTATTGGAGTAGCCTGAGCAAATATGGCGTGTTATTAGTATATCTCGTATAAGCTAAGTGGAAAGAGTCCAGCAGCGCGCCTATGTATGAAATCGGCCACGTTTGAAAATTTGACGGCAACTTTCTGCTCATAAATAACTCAATAAACTCTTTGTTCAGGGTGTTAGTCTGTATTATATTATCAGACCCTGCGCTGTGAACACGCACATCAAAAAAACTCCAGACAGTTTTTGTATGGTTGTTTTGGAAGGGGGGGGGGAACTTTGATGAACTCATTAAGACTTTATAGGAAACCCGAGACCTGAACGCCCAGCGACGTCGGCCAACATACACGCTTGGATCTATTTCTTGGTGTTGTGTGCTCGCTTTGAATAACTTCAAATTACTAGCCAGGATGATAAAGTTCCATTTATAGAGTGGTGGAAAGCTGGCTCCTTCTTGACAGCTCCGTGTGAACATATCTGGAACATAGCACAACACACGGGCTGGTTATATGATGGTTCAATGGTCAATTATTGGCGTGTTATATATATATATATATATATATATATATATATATATATATATATATATATATATATATATATATATATATATAATAAGCATATTATGACAAAATGTCAGAGATGTGACTACATAGCATATAAGAGAGAAGTTTGTTTACTATTATGCACAACATAAGTTGAATACACTGTGATCTATCTATCTATCGCGCATTTCACATGAGGGAGGGAGATACAGATGGGAGGAAGGTGGAGAAAGGGAGAAAAAAGAAGGAGCTGTTATTATTACACGGTCTCATACGCCACCCAGTGTACAGAATGTTGAATTGCAGCGTTGTGAATTTGAGCTACAAGTCTGTTGGTTATTTCAGTGGTTAAGTTTTAAAGTTGGTAATTGAAGGTTTAAGGGAATTGTTCTCGTTATAATTGTCATCCTTAAGTCATCCATTATGTAACTTCAGTTAGGGTTTTTAACATATTGTGTTGCTGCTGTAGTCCATCTATTGCCCACTGTCACATGCATTGTGGGAGGGAAGCAAAGACTCATTTGGATAGCCCAGATCACTCAGCAGCTATTTGAATGCCGGCTGTCTGTGGCAGTGGCCGGGGTTGGCCAGGAGGCCAGGTATAATCCCTTAGTGATGCTCATCTATTACTTAACATGCTCTGAAACTGTGTCAGATTGAAAACAGATCTCAAGGAAAGCAAGCTTGCACATGTGTCAGCCATTACTGCAGGCTACTCTAATTGCCTTTTCTTTAAGTGCTGCATTGTGGCACACAAGGGGTCCTCTCCGATAGAAGTGTTGATATCACGTGCAATGTTTTTCTTCCGAACATTTGCGGCATTGTGCACCGTACATGTTGAACATGACAAAACATGTTGCTAGGTAAATAGCTCCAACCCGACACGGTTCTTGAGGAATTGAACAAAGATGAATGCCCACAGGGGAGCCGTGGTAGCGGTAGAGAACAAATATTGCTATAGGTCATACCTTTCCATTCGAATTGAGTTGGCACATGTTCCCTCTATCATCACTGCTGTTAGATTGTTGATATTCCTTTCTAACAGTTCCTTATATATCATTAAGGCTGTTGATAAAGATGAAGCCATAAAGTGTGCTGACATTTGCAGGGAGGCAACATTACTGAATGTGTAATAACACTAGCTATTCTAGTTCTTTCATGCTTTAGAGCAACTTCTCAGCATCTGTCAAAGCAGGCATTTATCACTTTAATCCCCACCTGGCGCAAAGAATAAAAGTGAGGGTAAGTTACATATCCCCACCATACAGCCACGCTCTCAAAGCAGATAAACAGGTGGTCATCAAGAGACGTCAAAGCCAACAGTAGACAGAGTCCACACACTCACCTGCTCCTATTGTTCTGGGTGTTTCATGCTCTAGGCGTGTTGTCTTGAATAAAGGCGTGTTATTGCAGGCTTTATCTTTCCTCATCTTTATGATCTACTTTTTTGTTTAAAATAACTGTCATACTTGGAAAGCCATGCCTCTTAATGTATTATGATACACAGCTCAATTAGTTGTATCAATCTACATTTCATTTTGAAAGTAATTGTTCAAACAGTAGCAAAAGCTTGCTTTTTAACAATCAAACCAGTCGCTTAGCTGGTCTAGAGGCTTCTCTAAAAAGTACATTTTATTCCAAACATTCCTCAGTATGCGGTTCCTCCCTCGCTTTATTATTCATGCTCATTGTGTTAACTCGCAAGCCGCTTTTTCATTAACTGTGAAATCCAGCAGTGCACATAAAATGTTCCTTCACTAGATGTATAAAACAAGAGCAAACCAATCAGTTGTCACATTTAGCCTCTAGTAGATATAAGCCAGAGATTCTCCGCCAGTCCCACAGCAATTAAATGATTCATTGCCTTTATCACATTTTAACAGGATGTTGATTGAGAGCATAAGCCATATTGATTGTCCTGATGGAAACAGGAAATCACAGAGATAGAAATAAAATCATTTGTTGTTCCCGGTGTGAGGATACCCGGGGGAACAGCATGCAATTGCACACTGTTGAGTGGCATTACCCCCAGCAACCTCCTCCCCTCCATTCTCTCCCCTATGGAGACCTGGAAAGGACGTCATCTGTGGTTGTTATGCTGCGAAATGACGCTGGCACTCTCTCCACCCCCTGCTACTGCAATATTACCCCTGTGGTCTGTTACGGAAGATGCAGCACTCTTCGTCTGCACCATTTCCAGCATGAAGTTTGACGCCTAACAGTAATCAGCCCTCTGCTTTCATTTCCGTCATGTGGAAGTGGAGCCATTTGAGCGTGATGCTGATAATAATATCAGCCTAAATGCATCCTACACATAAAGCTCGTGACTGGCCTTGATCCCGTAAACCTACATCATTTTCTTTGCTGGGAAGCCTCACAGACAATTCTTGTTATTTGAACCAAAGCCATAACAATACTGAAGGGTTAATAAGTTTGATATATAGACTTTTGTTGGTGGTATTTAATGAAGTATAGGTAATTATCCCCTTATTCCTGGCTTTGTTCTCATTGTTGTTTTAATTGGTGAGAGGAAAAATACCCCCATCTCCCTGCAAACACATACAAGCCAGCCCCTCCCCATGCCCTCCCGCTAACATACACTCACACACTCTGGAGCTGCACGTCACTGAGCTCAGGGAATGAGTGGCTCATTAAGAAGAAGGATGTGATATTCTGAATCTAGACTGTGAGACTCCCAGCACATCTATTTATAGACGGGATATCTCTATGGCAGTCACAGTGCTGTTGGTTAATTGCAGCCACGGCCCCTGATACCAATTAAGAGTGAAACAAATGCTTTTAAGGTGGGGTTTCTGCTCCTCCCTCACTGTTCACGTCCTCGTGTCCGTCCTGAGTGTGTTTGCGCGCCGTGTTTTCCAGTATCAAGTTGGGACATGCAGAGTGCAGTCAAAGCCTCGGTCAGGCTATTTTTAAATGAGCCCCTGTGGAAAGCAAGATCTAGATTTTCTTTTCATTATGGTTGCTTTTATATCTCGGGCTGTTGGATGTCCACCAATTCATTGATTTGCTGTGAGTATTTGAGCTTCTCAAAGGTAAGGGATGTATATGCTCGAGCAATGTGTGTTCAGTATTTCCGCTACACCTGGCGGAAATACCCCCCCCTCTTAGCAGTGATTTGCTTATCTTGTGAGTTGTTCGAGATCGGTACTTCGCAGTGCAGGGAGGATGAAACATCTTTCTGTCATTCAGTTTCCTCATGACATCCTGTTAGTTCATCCTGCAGTGCTCTCACCGTCCACCTGCAGAAAACAAACAGTGACCCTCAACAAACTCCTGATTCCCTTACGTGACTGTGAGGTTAAGTAGCATACCTGCCTTACAGCACACAGTTTCTAAAAGGAAAAATAATACTTCAGCAGTGGTGTTTGTCATAGCTGACACAAACACAGCTTGTCCCTCTCAATCAGTCAGTAAGTGCTGCCTATGTTTGAAGTTCCCCTGAAGGTTGATAATAATGATTTCGTTACCGGGGTAATGTCATAGTCAGATAATAGAAGATAATGCATGAGCTCTTCAAACAAACAAAGCAAACAAACGCATATCCTTATGTAAACACACGCAGAGCCTTTCGGAAATTAGTCCCAGTTTACAATTGACCATCACATGGTAGAAGGCAATCATGCATCCATTATTGGCCACCTGTACATTTGATGTTTACTTTATTAAACATTTAAACACCTGCTCTAATAAACATACAGTTTAAGAATATGCAAATGCGATATGTCCTTTTATAAAGTGTAAAATGGATAGATGTGGGTCTGAGCTTTCAAAACTGACAGTACAACACATCATCCAGGCAGTGAGGGATGAATGACAGATATAAAACGAGTCCATTATAAAACTACACCTCCTCGCACGCTCTAGAAACACACTGCACAGTTTAACACACCAGTTAAAAACAGCTCATAAATAATAACAAGCCTGCAAGAATGTAGTGACATCTATTTGTGTGATCTTATCTTTTGTGTTAAGCAATATATTTGAAGCTCAGCACAGATTGTGTGACTGCCAACAAATACAAATACAAGCCAGACCTCACATAGGAACAGAGAGATGTTAGTTTGCAAACAATTGGAAAACAGTGACAACACAGCGCCAATATTGGTTTTAATTTTGATTATTCAAAAATACTACTGGTTCTCTTTTTGGCTTTCAAAGAAACGGTAGAGGGTATAAATAAACATGGTGCATTATGGATCAAGAATAAGCTAGCTTCATTGAAAATGCTCTTTGAATAACAGTCTTGTTCTCTCTTCCCCTTCCTCCCCTCTTGTTTCTCTTTCTTACCCCTCCAGTTCCACCAGGTTAGAAGAGTGATGACCATCCTGTTCCTTACTATGGTTATTTCATACTTCAGTTGCATGAGAGCTGCGCCCCTGAGAGACGTCCCGGGCATGCGGGGCCATCGGACGGAGGGCTACTTGGGCGCTGCTGCGACGGCCGTACGAGGCCATGGGACTCCTCAGAGTGATGGGGGGCCGGGCCAGCGCGGGGAACTGCCCTCACTCACAGACACGTTTGAGCAGGTGATAGAGGAGCTGCTGGAAGTGGAGGGAGAGGCGGCAAAGCTGGCACAGGGGCCTGATAAGAGCCAGGGAGGAGGGGGCCCGTCCTCCATGGTCACCACAGAGACCAAGGACGTCGACCTGTACGACTCGCGGGTGATGATCAGCAACCAAGTGCCTTTGGAGCCGCCGTTGCTCTTTCTTCTGGAGGAATACAAAAACTATCTGGATGCCGCTAATATGTCCATGAGGGTGCGGCGACACTCCGATCCCTCACGGCGCGGAGAGCTCAGTGTATGTGACAGTATTAGCCAGTGGGTGACAGCTGTGGATAAAAAGACGGCAATAGACATGTCTGGGCAGACAGTTACCGTCATGGAAAAGGTCCCTGTCCCCAATGGCCAACTGAAGCAATACTTTTATGAGACCAAATGCAACCCCATGGGGTACACAAAGGAGGGATGCAGAGGAATAGACAAGCGGCATTATAATTCCCAATGCAGGACAACCCAGTCCTACGTGCGAGCGCTTACCATGGATAGCAAAAAGAAGATTGGCTGGCGGTTTATAAGGATAGACACTTCATGTGTATGCACATTGACCATTAAAAGAGGGAGATAGTGTATAAAATGTATAGATTTTATTGAAGAGTTTAAAAAAGAGAATAAAGAGAAAATATCTATTTGTATATATACATAACAGGGTAAATTATTCCGTCAAATGAAAATTTTATGGACTGCATGTAAAAAAAGATGAAGTTTATACAGTAAAAGTGATACTACAGTCTATTTATTGAACATATTCATGACCTTGTAAACAATTAAAAAAAATCTGATCAGTCATTTGCGCCCAGTTTAAATTACTATATCACATCCCTCAAGACATTGTGATTTGTTTACGTTGCCAAGAATTAGAAAATGAAGGAAAAAAACAGGCAAGGAATGAGAGAGGACAGTTCCATCTTCAAAAGCTTGCATGCTGCTTCAATTGTGAATTGACACTTACAAAAAAGGATATGATGCTGACCAAAAAACATTTTGTTTACATATTCAGCAGAAAACAATTTTCCTCTCAAGTAATTTATCTGTTTACTGTTCTAAACTTCTCAAGGTAATGTTGGAAATACATACTATGTCAAGGTGCTGTTGTCAAAGCTTTGCTGTTTATTTTTTTATCCCCACCAGAGGAAAAGATATATAAAAAAACTATTATATATATATATTTATATATACATATAAATATATATGTATGTATATATATATAAAATCTATTCATTGACATGTTTCTGGGTTAATATTATTCATTTTGTATGTTGTGAAGTTGTTTGCAATATTAAACTGAAATATTTGAAGAAATAAAAATGACTATAGGCAACTGAAAAACAAAATCAATGTCGATAAAGTTTCAACAGTGCATTTCCAGGCAGGATCAACTTCACTATGACAGGCAGGCAGGCGGGGAGGAAGGCCGGCACACACATACATGTGCACACACACTAACACCAAATTACCTATGACCAGGATACTAAATACATATCAGAGGCTGCAAGAAAAAAAGTTGAGGAGTCAATACATTGGGTAATATGTAGTGTTTTGGGTGGAAACACTGTATATTTTACAGTGGAAAAATCCTCCTGAGCCACTTCCTGCTCCCAAACCTGCACATTACAAACTTACATTGTGTCATTTAATACTTTGGTATTCATACAGAGGATTTAAGAGATTGACTCATCTCGATATGTAATATTTCACAATTATAAGAACTTAGCATAACAAGTGTAGACTAGTACAATTAGGCTGAGTTTGACACTGATGCATTAACCCACACGTACATTTGTTTACACTAAAATATACACCCACCCAACATTTTCTCAGCAGAGCATGGTAATCCCATTTTAAATCTTCTACAAAAGAACAATCATCACAGATTGTATGCAGCTGTTCATTGACTGTGAGCAGGAGGAAAATCCTGGTTTCGTATCTGGGTTAAAAGATTACTGAAGCCTCATAACAGCCTTCCCTGCAGCAGATTATAATTCTTCATAGTGAGCATTAAAAAGTGACAACTCCTTGCTTGTCTCTTAACATAGTTAAGGGTTGCACTTTTGCATCTTAATATCATGAACCAATGCCACAATTACCCATAATATGCCATACTTCCGAAAGAGAAGACACTATAAAAAAGCAGATACAAAGCTTTACCGATTATATTCGTGTCACATTTGATGCTCATTTCATTCCTATGTTGTCAACCTAAAGGTGAGTGTGACCTCGGAAGAGATCCAGATCTGTCATTTTGAGATTTGGAAAACAAATGGCTGAAAAAAGAAATACTTTTTCTAAACCGAGAAAAAAGATGTGCTACTTCCTTGGATCCTCCAGAGGAGGCTGATGAAGATACTGTGAGTAACTTTTCTTATCCTCCAGCTTAGAACAAGTAGAGAGTCTACACTGAGAAAGATGATAAGTATATACTTGTGTCCATTTTCATGAATCTCCCAATAAAATACATTTAGGTGTGTGTCATGGCCTCACAAACCAAGTCAATATAAACTAAGGTATTCTATTTGTCTACAGGAAGACAAGCAGTAGGCAGTTGTTTTTGGAGGTAATCCACTTTAGAATAGAATTGCAATAATGTACAATTCAAACAACGTGTCTGAGCACAAACACATTCTCAGCATACAGGACAATAAATCAAACATTTTGTTATGCAGTTTAGATAAGGCATTGTGAACTGCTCTCTATCATGAGTAGGAGCCTCAGGGTTTAGAAAACTGCCATCCAATGATCACACAGTCATTAACGTAATAAAGTGACTCTGAAAATGCCATTTGTCTTTGAGTCAGAATAAAGCCCATTGTCTTTTGTGATCATAAATCATCCTTGTGAATATATCTTACATGTAAGATGTATTTGACCCAGAGCTGTGGTGAAAGCTTAGATAAAACAATAATTAGAAGAAAAATAACATAACAATAGGCCTTTTACATTTTTAAGTACAATGCATACTGCTGATCCACTAAATGGGGGTCACTTTCAAGTGTGTTGTTTCTTTGACCACACCCCGATCAGTGATGTCACATTAGGTGTATTTCATAAGCTGTGTGTCATCACCAACCGGGGTGTGGTCAGAGGTGAATCATGCTTGCAGTTGTTTTACATGCTTATGTGCTGTAGTCTCAAGATGTGCTCCAGTAAACCAGCAGAGGGCAGCAGAGAGGACATTCCTCCCAAGTGTCAGCAAAAATCCAAAGAATCTTCCGGATGGTCCCTTGTCACCACAACACAGCACATTATGTAACAATCCCTTGAGATGTGAGCATTCATGTAAAGGTGCAGCACAGCTGCTAAATGAATGATGCACTAAAATAAGGATGTTTGCTTATTGTATTTTTGTTAAATAGGGATAGGCTATGGGATCACAGTACGCACCTTTACTCCCTTTGTTTCTGAATCCTGGGCAATGAGACCAACAGCGGCCTTATGCAAGACACCAAAGGACAACAACCATGCATGTCCTGTATCAAGAGTACACACAATTACACAAACCAAATAATACTTTTAAGTTAAAACTGTCCCTCTAGACTAGTATCCAGAGTAGGATTTAACTCAAGGCACTAAAAGTGTAAGGATATAAATAACTCCCATTGTCCATTTCACAAAGCCATGGGTGATATTGTAATATAACAAAAAGTATGACATATTAAACAGTGAAATGGGTACACAGAGTATTACATCAATACTTAATTACGATTGATGAATCGTTTAGTGCCAACTATGGAATACAACCATTGATGTATTAAAGAACACAAAGTAATGATTTCCGTCTGTTTACCAACTTTACGAGCATTACCTGAACGCACCATGACACTGGCAGCTAGCCTAGCCGGCTAACTTGGCTAATCTGATTTAGCGTCTCGGCTAAACGCACGTAACGTTAGCCAGGATTACCATATTTAGTTTTCCATATCTATCGTTTAACACAATATCTACCTGACATAAAAAAACACTAATCTGAAGATGGCATCGCTTGGGGAGCCCGTGCGGTTGGAAAGAGGTAAAGTAAATTGGCTAGCTAGCGTTAGCTCAGAAATATTTGTTGTGATCTATGGAGGCATTAACCTAGCTTAGCTAGCGTTAGCCGCACTGAGCTGGTGATTGTTATTGACAGCATACTCTCGTGTTTAGTTGGCTGACTTTGCGTTAAAAATGTATTGCTGATAGCCAATGCTTGTGAATTTGCCTCTTTGTGTACATCCGATGCACTGAGCTGAACTAACCATCGGTTTAAGGCTACACTGTTTTACTTAGCGCACATGCTAACTAGCTGTTATTAATGGTAACAGTGATAAGTAGCTTGTTTGATAAAAGCTCTCCGTTTTTTAGCATCATTGAGGATTCATAAGCTATTTTGCACCAGTTTAATCATCATAAGCAGGATGAGCAGGAATACATATGTATTTTACATACTTTTTTCAACCATAGTTCTCCTTTTGTCTTTACTATATTAATTGTCTTAGTGATTTCGTTCAATACATATTAACCACTACACTCACAAACAGACAGAAATACACACTGTACTTTTTCTGCACACTATGTACGGATAAACTATAATACAATTAGACTGCACGCCATACAAAAGGGGAATTGAGATAAAAGGTATTTGGAATGTTTATCCACCCTTACAAAAGGTATACAATGTTTTTAAGAATATTATTTGGTTTAAACCCTTCATCTTTAATAAGTACAATATGAGATGAGTTGGTACATTGTATGACATATACATCCCTCCATAGAAGTTGTGGGGGGTGGGTAGTAAAACAAAGAAAAGGAAGTCTGATGGATGCCTATGATCCTGTTATATCTTCTCTGTGTACTTGATATGTCTATGGACCCCTTAGTCTTCCATGTATCTAAATGCTAATACACCGTGGTTTTTATTTCCACAAGCCCTCACACGTGTAATGTTGATAAAGGCTGAAGTGTATATGTGATATAATATGTTGGAGGAAGCTGAATGGAGTCAAAATCAATTGCATTAGCACAGACAACAGTGGCAGGAGAAAAATGACTTTGATTTAATATATTTTGAAATTATTTAGTTTTTCACATTGGAGACCGTCTTTTTCTAACTGTTTCAACTTGTTTATACTTCCAAAGAAATCACAATGAATAAATAATTGCAAAAACACCCCAAACATTTCTTCATGGTAAATTGCAAATGTAGTACTTTTTTTACATTTTACATTATTAGTTTAAGGGTTTAAAAGGAGAAATAATGTATAACAATAACCAACAACCAGCTTAACTGAGGATAATAATGACTCTTCCTTACATTGGCTATTTAAATAGGACAAGATAAACTATATATATAAACATTAAAACAGAGTAACGGAGGAAAAACGGCTCACACTTGTTTTTGTTCATGATGATGTCATTTCAACTGGTTGGTAATTTATTTTGAAAGAGCAGCTGATAATGTTTGCCCCCATGTGTGAGGTGGCAGATAATTAAAGATTAATTGTTAAAGATATTCTGGCATTGAAATAATGAAGGTGCAGCATATAATTCGGTCTCATAGTTTCATTGATGGTAAGTAAACAGTGGTGTAAGTTCTTACAAACTCAATCTCAGACTAATTTAAAACGGGTTAATTGACGGAAATGAATGAAACATTTTAGACATTTATTGATTTGTAAAAGCAATTTCTAACCTATTCATTGTTTCTTTTCTTCCACGATTCAATTGAACAGATTGAGTTTTGACATTTGCAGAGGAGTTAATCATCGTCTCCATTTGCAGATATTTCTGAAACCTTGATGGATGTGTGTGTGTTCTTGTTGACAGATATTAACCGTGCTGTTGAACTGCTGGATAAGCTCCAGAGGACCGGGGAGGTGCCGCCCCAGAAGCTGCAGGCGCTGCAGAGGGTCTTACAAAGTGAATTCTGTAATGCTGTCAGAGAAGTGAGATACTTTGTTTTTCTTATTTCTTAAACACTTTGAACTTAAAACTTTGAAATGGCATTAGTTTACTTTGAACTTCTGAGTTTAAAAAAGAGGGTTTGGTTGGATCTGTTTCTCTTCACCTTTTGGAAATGTGGGCAGCTGTTGCTGGGATGTGACGAAATACTGTCCAACAATGTCTTCAGGTTTACGAACATGTGTATGAAA